TTTTATATAGCCTGACACTTGGCCCCGCTGTTTGATATTATATTATTATTCTTTAAATCGACGTAGAAAAAAAAATACAACGTAATCGAACGTAATGAATTAGGCGCATTGGCCTACAAACGACTAACGAGATTTAAATCGAATTGCGTAACAGTGATCGATGGCATTAAAATCTATTTAGGGTAATATAATACATGCAAGCTGGTCGCAACGCGCGCACAGTAAGCCCTAAATAAACTTTGTTCGGATTCGTTTCGCCACACATATTATTATAATATTAAATTATATTAACGAGTGGTAGGATCATATTGTATATGTTATTACAGTATTTAGTCGTATCGGACGATTTTTAAAAATTTTTTAGGCGGGTATATCCAGTGTTTTGTTTCAGGAGAGGGATGATAAAAATAATAAATAAAATGTACGTGATATACATATTCATAAGGAATAAAATAATGAAAACATTTAAGAAAAGAAATCAGTGCAAAAAATGACACGTATTAATTTGCTAACGTATGATGATTCCAACAAATTTGAAATCGATTTTTGAACATTTTGAATTTTACAAACTTTAAACAAATGCATCAATACTTTACATTAAATTTTTTTCGTATACCAAATTTAGTCTTGTTCTGAATGTCAAACCATTGATTTTGAAAGATTTTATTATTAGTTCAATACCGAATAGGAGGTATACATTATGATGTATATTATTAATTATCGGGAAAACGTCTTAATAATATTGTGATACCATTATACCAATGCATAGAAAACACTTGATTTTCTACAATGTTACCATACTCACCTGGAGGGGGGGGGAGAGAGAGAGAAATGCAGCCCCCGATGAAACCTCGTCTTGAGAAATCTCCAAAATACTCCTCTCTGCGTTTCGACAAACAAAACTTTAAATGCCGATCCGAATATTGTATTTTTTTTTTGGTCCAATGTATCATAAGACGACAAATATAAAATACTTGCTAAATATTATTATCGTGCAGTTGTTGTAGTAGGTACCAAACTCTTGGGTGCATAATATAATAATGGACTTCATCAATCAATCGGTGGCCGAGTCTGCGTGTGTTCGCAATATAGTATACCGGTGCAGTGGACAGACCACCAAAATTCACTCACTTTCTAACTAGAGTCACGCGTTTTAGGTACTCGTTAATCAATCGATTCTGTTTTAAAAACGGACGACTTGACAAGTGGTTTTGGACCGACCGACGTGGTCGTTATTTTTTTCACATCTCGCCAGCATGCGACTATTTAGCTCGAGTAACTATATTAAAAATCTAAATACTGTCAGCGGTGCCCCCGCAACACGTGATGTAACGATATCATATTATTTATATAGGTATGTTATATGCGCCGTAGATATAAAAAGTAAAATCGCATCGATGTAATGTGAACCCACATAATATAATAATAATATTATAGGTAGTATTATTATCAGTGCCGCAACCGTGGGCGCATCAAATTTATATACCCGGGATTTGAATTTTATCGTACGCGTATTTAAAATATAATATATTATAACACAGTTAGGTACAACTTAAGAATGTATATTGTTTTGATCGTGACGTTTTAGAAAAGTCGTTTATTTCATAAATTAACTATAAGTACATCTCGACAATATAAATTCCTATGACGTTATGTTGTTAAAATGTCACGAGTATACCTATATTTAGAAAATATTACGCAAAATAAAAATATTACAAAATATGAATTTAGTGTATACTAATATGAAAAACAACAAAAAAATAAAAAAAAAAAAAAAAAAAATAATATAAAAAAATAAAAAAAAAAAAAATAAAAAAAAAAAAAAAAAAAAAATAATAATAAATTAAAAAGATAAAAAAAAAACATAAAAAAATAAAATAAAAAAAAACAAAAAAAAAAAAAGAAAAAATGAAATAAAAAAAAAATAAAATAAAAAAAAAAAACAAAAAAAAAAAAAAAAAACAAAAAAAAAAAAAAAAAAAAAAAATAATAAATAAAAAAAAAGATAATAAAAAAATTTTACAAATTAAAAAAATTTTGAAAAAATTAAAAATAAAGAAAAAATTTAAAAAGAAAAAAAAATAAAAAAAAAAGAAAAAAAAAAAAAAAAAGGAAAGAAATTAAAAATAAGAAATAAATAAATTTAAGAAAAAAAAACAAAAAAAAAAAAAAACAAAAAAAAAAAAAAAAATAAAAAATAAAAAATAAAAAAAAAAAAAAAAAATTAAATTTTTTTTTTTAATATTTTAATACGAATAAATACGTTTCAATGTTTGTGTTAAAAATGTATTTTTAAATAATTTATTTTTTATTCGCTTAGATAAAAAACTTGAAATTTTCATGACATATTTATTATTACCGGCACGGGAAACACCGAATACGTCGATTAGAAATAGTATAGGTTAGGTTTATGAGGATTACATATAAATAGTTGAAAATTCATAAAAATTCCAATAAAAAAATATTAATTACAGTATAGGTTAGGTTTATGAGGATTATATATAAATAGTTGAAAATTCGTAAAAATTCCAATAAAAAATATTAATTATATTGGTCAATAAATTTGTTAATATACATGTATGACTTATGTACCCACTGGTTTATAAGGGGGGGGGGGGATATATAATTACAATTCTGATTTAAGATTTATCTTATAATTATTTAAAATATAGTCAAATAAAATTAACCATACATGAATATGATTTATGTTATTCCCTCTACCTATCATATTTTCACCGTCAAATTTGATTTAGTTATATATCATTTTAATCATTTAGTACATATTGACCCATTCGTTGAACATATTATGATAACTACATTATTTATTGAAACTTAAAAATTATATATTACGTAATCTTTTTATACAATTTAACTCCGTTAATCATTAAGTTTTTTTTGTGTCTAACACGGATTATAAAGATTATAATAAGTATTATTATGTTTCACCACTTTTTCTAACAGTGTTGGTGACTCACTGTCATTATATACCGGATTAATAAAACCGTTCCAACGGGGTTTCAACAACGAAATTAACGAAAAAATGATTTCAACCAACACTGAAATACAATGGGAAATGTTGAATTCGAATAAATCGTATGTTGTACATAATTGAAGTGAAATACTCAATGGAAATGATTTAAATTTATTCAATGAAAGTTTACTGTACATTTTATTATAGAATAAAATATTTTTGATCATAAAACTAAAAAATCGTTTTATCTAACTACAATGTCCACCGTCCAACTTTCTCGTTTGTTTTGCATTATAATAATATATTCGCAGGAAAATATGCAAGTTAAATTGTTTGGTTAATAACTTATTACCCTTGCCAAATAAGGGCTCAAACTGATGTAATTGGGTTTAACATATTTAATTGAATTGATATTTTCAAAATGACGCGATATAGATAAAAATAAAAATCAATCATAGCGTTTAATATTGATTTATTTAACATAACTATTTTATTTTCTATGGTAGGTACTTTTTACAAGAATATAACCAATTCGACTGAATAATAGGCAGGTACTAAGCACTATACGAGTAAATGTATTATACTTATTATAATAATGTAGGTGTATAAACATTATATTTACATGATATACTATTTAAATCATATGCGTATTATTATTGTATAAGCAGTTAATATTTTCAGAGTAATTATAAATTCCAAACTTTTTTTTTAACTAATTCATATAATAAAATGAATTATAATACTACCCGACAAAAAATTAATTATTTACTTCCAATCTACAATATTATGAGTAGGTACAGGAGCTCCGATACATTTGTATTAATTATAATATGTGTACCACGCTTATAGTAATAAATAATAATGATTACGAGTATTATAATATTATAACACTTTGTTTCGTTGATACATTTGGGTGTCGTAATAACACACTCTTTGATATTATTATTACGGTTAATAATAATAATAATAATAATAATAATAATAATAATAGTAATAATAATAATATGTCTGTAGGTCGTATCGCAAATTCAGTTAAGTTACTTTATTCTGCCTACGTTTGTTTTGTTTTTTTTTTTTTATAACAATATTATACAAACCCATTATTATCGTGACCGGCAATTATAATATTTTGATTGGATTTTCCGTACAAAACCGGAGCGATAGTAACAAAACGGCCTTACTCGCACAAAGTCATCGTGCAGCTTATAATAATATACAAATTACGAGTTGTGCTTATGACTAGTATTAATTATAACACGATTTTTATTTTTGTTTTAAAAAATGTATCATTCATGTAGGACGGCGATTGGTCGTTTTCGCGGAAAATCATTTCCATTTGCGTTTGCAACGATTAAAATAATATTATATACGTACCCGCATAGTATTAGGGTTCGTCGGAAATGGCTGCGAGTTGTGTAGTCGCTTCTCGCTGCAGTTTCCGTCTCTCGAGTGTGTATCTATATGTTTACCGTTCTCATATTATTATATTGTAAGCATTGTAAAATATCGTATACAAAATAAATAAATTGAAATTTAGTTTTTAAGCGAACAAATTGAACCGTTATTTGTATTCCAACGTTCGTTTTTGATGTTCGAGTAAACGTAATTTGTTCATTTCAGTTACACAAATAATATAGTAGAGCTGACTATATTATGCACAATGAATGTATATAGAATGAAAATACAAAACATAAACGAGTTATAATGTAATACATAATCGTACGTGAATTGGTTATATTTTGTAGGTACTCATAATATATTATTATTATTGTTTTGTCCGCTCATTTCTCGGAAGAGTTTCAAATCATATATAAATACATAATATACCTAAAATATTATTATGATATTGAAGTATACATAATAATATTATACTTATATTTCCCATTAAAAAAAATATATATCAAATGTGCAACTTTTATGATACTTGAGATTTGTTTACATTTCTCTGTAAAATACCCACTACCCCTATATTAAGTTTCCCGATTATCGATATTGATATTATAATATTGTTCGCTTTTGATTTCCGCAGGGTGAAGACAACGTCGAATATTATCTGGGTTTGACTCCGACCGGAGTGATTGTGCTCCGAAACAAAAACATCGTCGCAAATTATTACTGGTGAGTGTCTTGCAGTGGCAGTGTATATTATTTTTCAACGATTATGTCATCGTTTTAATGGTTACTGACTCACGTTTTCAGGCCCAGGATCACCAAGATCTTCAGCAAAGGAAAATATTTCATGCTCAGGGTGTGCGATAAAAACGTAAGCACACATAGACGTTCGCGTCTTGTTTATTATGATATTAATTGTTATAAATTAAATGGTTCTATACGTGAATTATTGTAGTAGTCTGGTCGGCCAGAGAAGTTCTTTTCGAAAGAACCGTTTCGACCAGATTAGCATAATATTAACACAATATAATAGACGTACAGATTGAATATTGAAATACATAGTCAGTATTGACTATTGAGTGTATAGATTATTACTAAAGTTTCTGAATAAAGGTAGTTCAATAAATTCGTTTAACTCTCCAAGGCCCCATTAATAAAAATCTACACTCGTGGAATGAGGGCATCAACCAACTGCAACGTCATCTCTCTCTGCGTGATCCCCCAATACGTCTTACGCAGTCGCTCGAGTAGTTTGATTTTTATTAACGAGGTCTCGGTGACTCCATGTCCTTATTATCAGGCAGGTTACTTTTTATAATAATGTATTGAACTACCTTTATCTACAACACTCATTTGCAGTTTGTAACTCATACTTAACTCAAGTCAACAATAATTATATATTTTAATAATATAATGTCAATATCCACTCTTTGTCGTGATGCCTTCTTCCAAGTTTGCATGCACGTGGGGGTGCCTCGACTTTCACACTTGCTCAGCATCGTTACCTATTCTTTCTGGTTCCCCTTTATTAAAACAACTTCCTAAATTATTTTTTTGTAGCGTCCCAAGTCCCTAATCAGTCCATGAAGTCACTACAATACTAATATATTATAGCATTATTAATCGTGAAATATTATACTTTTTTACGTCGAATAGAACTTGGTCGGACCAAGGAAACGTTTGGTTTTCCAGATTAGCATAATATTTTAATTGGGGCTCGGGTCTACCATAATAATGGTAAAAATAATGGTAATGACGATATTTTCAGAACGACGAGAACACTTACGGGTTTGAAACGCCCTCGAGGCCGGCGTGTAAACATCTGTACAAGTGCAGCATGGAACATCATTCATTCTTCAGACTTGTCCAAGTGTCACCCAACCCCCCGGACGTCATAAGCACTCGATTTAGCAGGTTTGATATGCGCGCCGCGACAGAATATTATATTATTCAATTACATTAATTGCGTTATGCTCTCCGTAGGTAGGTACACATTACACATACGTGCTATTTTATCATTATCATATGTGTACTACGCGCTGTAAAATGTACCTACATATAATATATAATAATAATAATAATAATAATAATATGGTTTTGTCGCAGTCGTCGTGATGTACCGCACACCTATATGACGACGTACTCTAGCGTATTTATGTACAAATGGGTAGAGTGATATGTTATGACGAGGGAGAAAACTAAATATCATGAGCGTGTTTTCATATTATACGATATAATATAATATTATATACATAGGAATGCGCGATATCGTACGTAGCAATTCTTTTTCTTCGGTATCACTAACAAAAAGAATTTTGTTGCCACGCGTTTTATGTGCAGCGTATATATGCACCCGTATAATACTAAATAAAGTAATATTATATTATTACACTGCCGCCGTATAGTCGGCCAGGGCTCGAGGCGTACATAAAGCCGACTTTAGGGAGCTGGATGAACAAACGACGGTTGTTTTTCGTTTTTCATGCCCCATCATATAATTGTTCAGATTTTTCCCGCCAGAAGATGATAATTCTAAAGAAATACATCCCTAGTCGTACAACTGTGTGTCTGTGTGCATAGGTATTTTGTGCACCACATTTTACGTAGGTATATATATAATAGTGTAAGTATAATATCTACGCTACCCCTTTCGTGCATCATACATACCACTATCTACTCTATTATTATGATGTATTATAATTATTACTGCCACTGTACTCTATTATTGCTATTATTGCTCGAAGAATATGCGATACTGTTCGTATTGTTTATTGTTGTCTACCCCGCAACAGTCGTCACAGTTATTATTTATTAATATTGTCGTTCGAAAGCTACGCGTAAAATAATTTAATGTTATGAGTTTATATACGATTCAAAATAGCATTCCGAAAACGGTACAGATCGCTCTCTTTTCTACCANACTCAAAAACATATCTATGTTAAATTAAAATGCTCTTTAAATAACAACAAAAAAAAGTTTACAAGTGTACGATGAACGTTTTTACAATAAAATATCTAAACACCACGTATGTACCGGTGGTTATTGATTAATTAAGGTTTTGCTTTATATTTATTCTGTTTAGCGGTCGGGCGGATAAAACGTCAGTGAGGAGTTCGCAGATGAGCAATAGAACTCCGCCATCGTTTACAAGGACACCCAGTCGCCGCTATCAGAGAAGGATCGTCGAAGGGGCCAACGATAGTAAGTATAGTATTTACGATGATTTTATTACTGCCACTGTACTCTATTATTGCTATTATTGCTCGAAGAATATGCGATACTGTTCGTATTGTTTATTGTTGTCTACCCCGCAACAGTCGTCACAGTTATTATTTATTAATATTGTCGTTCGAAAGCTACGCGTAAAATAATTTAATGTTATGAGTTTATATACGATTCAAAATAGCATTCCGAAAACGGTACAGATCGCTCTCTTTTCTACCACTGCAGATGATGTTTATAATAATATTAAGTGCGTTTTAAGACGTATACGTTATAATATTAAATATATATACATAATACATATATAATTATTATATATCTATAATCTTTTGAAGTACAATATTATAAAATTTCAGGCAGTTATCGACATGAAGGTTTTTAATAATTTCAAAAGGCCTTTTTTTTTAATAGCCACTGCTGGTTTTAGACGATTTAGATAGATTTGTCGATATGTTAATAACAATAAGGGCTCGTTAGTGAATTGCACTAAAAATGCAACTATGCAGCTACTTAATTAACGAAAAAAAAGTGAACCGTCAATGGGTGGCAGATATATGAAACATCGAAATTACTTTCTACAAAAAATATGAGTGAGAGTTGAAAGGATGGTTTATTACAGGAGTTGAACATGGCATAATCAAAAACAACATATAAACATTTTTTTTATGAACAATTTTAAAGGCTCATGAAATATTTCTATTTCATAAGCGCCATTTGCGCTTTGGGCATTGCGTGCGTGGCGACGTCGCCACACCAACAGCAGAACTCACCTACCGCTGTAAATTTTCACATCAAAAACCTTCAATCATAAACTGAAAAAATCATAAATAAAGAATNAATAATTGAAAATAATAAAATCAGAATAAAATAATAGGCTCCAGAAAAGGATAGAATAGGTTAAAAGGTGGAAGGAGCACGCTCGGTGAACCACTCTGTATATTTTTATATTACTAAGACTATGTATAGTATAATATAGGCGTGCAGACCTATTTGACATTTTCTAACGAGCTAATTTTCAAAGCACCGCTACGATCTCGAATTCGTTAGAATTTTTTTTTCTTTTTAATTAACCTAAACAATACACAGCACTACTACAGCTCTAGACGTCGAGTCTGAAGTAGTATAATTAAAATAAAATATTAAAACTAGGTATATAACAATTATAATAATATATACCTACCTATAACAATATGCTCGTACAGCGTAGACATTTTTTTTCATACATCTTACCCGCTGCACCGCGTTACTATATAATATTACATACATATGTTGTGCGTTCACAATTACCCAACTACCGGTTAATTTCGTATTATATTCTTAAGAACCGTGAAAATACTTGAAGACTTCGTGCAAAAAAGAATACGTTATTATATAATGTGCGCGTAGTATTGCTCGTTTTAATGTACGTCGAAAGCACACCGTTGATGCATAATAATAATGATATGAACATTAGGAGGTATATTACGGACTTGGACGTTTTGTGGTCTTTTCAGAATTAAAAAAAAAAATTATAATTATAATAATAAACACACCCCTCGGTCTCTTCAACAAGCAGTAGTAGTCGACAAGATGTCTTTATATCAGGTACAAACTATTATAATTTAATAATATTACTATAATATCGTGTACCCGGATGCAACTGATATTTATAACATTCCGACCGAATTCGCAGTCGATTGTAAAAAGCTCTCTCTCGGATAAGCGAGCGTTTCTGGTACGTTTTATTTAACAACAATGTAATATTATTATTTACTCCTCGCGGGCACTCGAATTAATATAATAATTACGAAAACGTCATCATCGCATCAACGTCGCTATATTGTAGGTACCTCCGACCTACCCATTTATATGATTCGTTAAACGGTAATTCAACATCGTAGGTACCTATATTATTATAATAGGGCTCTTCGAGTACCTATTTAATATTGTAACATATCTGTATAATGGAGCTGGCAATATTAATAAGACCGATTGCCGTTAATATAAGTTTTATGTATTTTCTATTTTATATCGTGCAAATTATCCCGCACAAATTTGTATTAATAATTACCGAGAATCCGATCGATCGATATAATAATAATAAATTTCTGCAGCACTACTCTTTGTCAAGTACTTTTATAATAATGTATATTATATATGCACTCGATAAACCCAACGGGAAACGTGTGTGTGCAGAGCGAGAATCGATATTACGTTCTATATTTTGTACACCTATATAGGAATAATATTATTATAAAACAACACGTTATTATTATTTTTTTTTTGTGTGGGAGGGGGGGGGGGGGGGTAAGTACACAATAATATTACATTTTCGAAATATCGTTATGACAAAAAAATTGTGTAAACGTCCTCTTCGAATGGTTAAACGTAAGAGGAGATATGATGTGACGACTGACATAGCTTATTAATAATAATAAATTTAATAAAATACCTACTACTTACATTATAAAATACGGAACATCGTGATTCGCGGTGCGCAGAAATCGATGTCATTGAAATAAGTAACAATTTATTAACCAAAATTTCGAAATTTGACCCTGTGCAAGACTCCAAAATTAATATTTGCTGATAAACGTAATTAAATAATAATAATTAAAATACCATGGGTACCCAAATATATGCGCGGAAGTGGTCAAACGTCGTGTGTATAATAATAATATCTGCCGTTTTCGACTTCTCGTCGCGTTGAAGATAAAGTTCGAATAAAAATCTCTGTAAATCAGTATACACCTCAGACGCGGCCAATTATTTTGGGTCTGCGTGCGTGTCTGGCCGTCGGGACGATGTCTAATTTAAGAGCCCGCAGAGACGACACGCGAGCTGTATAAAAAATAGCTGCGATATATTATACGTTCGTCGTCGTTAGTCGTCGAGAGAAATAATAATACGCATCGCCCTGAAAGTACTGTACTTACATAACGTGCGTTTGTCTCGGAGAGTTTGCGTACACTCGTTTATAAATCTCGTCATCGCTGTAGTACAGAGTAATTCACCAAACACGCTCATCCACCCTTTCGTTTTTTTTTTTTTTTTATAACGGTGCAGTGATTCAAATTATGATTTTTTTTAAAGTCTATGTGTATTATGTGGTACCTACTTAAATCCATGTTTCCAGATACTTGGAGTTTTATACCGTTCAAGGAGACACAAGCTTATTTTATTTTTCAAATGAGAACTGTCATATTTTTTTTTTAAATTGTTAAACAGAATAAACGATTTTTTGAAAATGTTGATGTGTCTAAATTTAAATTTGAATGAGCATTTTTTTAAACTATTAAAATATAATAATAAGAAGTTACCAACTAAAAAAAATAATCACCAATAATAATAGTACATCAAATGTATAACAGACTATGTAATATTTAGTCAAGTATTCCTACTTATAAAATTCATTCACTCTGATAAATCTTAATAGTATGTTGATTTCGATAAAATGTAAATAATCATAAGCTCCATATTTTTAAACCTATTATCATGGTCTATTGTCTTTAATACATAAGGCACCTGTTTGTATTAATTTATATCAATAGTTTTGAAAAAATTATCTGTTTAACGATTCGTAGTAAAAAGGCGGTTTTAATTTGTTATCAAAAGAGTTTTATCACCACAGACATTCCTAAAACATGCAAGTACTTATCTATTTGAAAATAAGATCTTTAAAGTTTAAATCTACTTAGGAATTCCAAAAATATGAATTTGAATTTAAATTCATTATAAAAAGGAAAAAAATGAGCATGCCCAGTGAGTCACCCTGTAATATTTATGTAGTACCTTTACTTGAATAAGAGGGTTGGTGAGGTGAGTATTATGCCTCTTCGAGGAAATAAAAACAAAATAAAAAAACGACTGTTTGGCAACGAATTTCCTAGGAATTCACACTAGACGACTGTATAATATATTATTATATTAGTACAATGCATTCACAACAAAACGGGCCTTAATGCTTTCAAAAACAGCAGGCTTGCTTTTTAATTAAGTAATATCCACAATTTTCGACGTTTAATAACGAAAACATACACATTATGATACCACACAAAATTAAACATTTAAACATTGTAAAAGATAACATGTTAACAATTCTAAAGCTTATTTAGTCCTTAGATTATCCGCCACTGCTTGCCACTGGTGATAATAAATAAGAATAATATTGAATATAAATTACTATAAAACACAATATGACAAATATTTCAAATTATTGTAACAACAGTTATAATAATTAGAAATAATTTCTTCTGAAATAAATTGAATTCGAAATTTTACAAATATCAGATTGATTAAATTTTTTTCTTTACCATAAACTGTATACTCATAACCACATAATAATGTGATACCTTTATGGTAACAAATAACAATAGTTTACTTCTTCGATCACAGCTGTACACCGTGGTGAAGGTATATAAGGTATATTGATACCCTATCCATGTATATTATAAAATTATCTCTAGACACCCCGATCTGTACATAATTATCGTGACGTATTTCGTCTCAACGGGTCTTCTTATTTCCGCACAGATCAAACTTTCGGAGACGAGTACAAGACCAGAGACGAACTGATGCTGTCATCGTCGTCGTTGAAACCGCAAGACAAGCTGAAAAACTGTTCCAATCCTCAACTGCCCGTACACACGTAAGTGAATTTATAACCATTATTATAATGTTACAATATTATACTATCGAGCTGGATATATTTGCTAAAATATCTAATTCTGTCTGTTCCTTCCATGCAGAATGTACGTGCCGAACCGGAGTGATTCGCCGAGGAGCACCAGAAGTGCACCGTGGGGCGTTTGGTCGAGCGCCCCTACCCGGGGCCTGTACTCGAGCAGCTCGCCGAGGAGTGTCCGATCGGGTCCTCATCAGATCATGCGCCATGCACGCCGGTCGTCCAGCGTGGACAGCCAGAGCTCCAATGACTCTAGATCGTGTCGCAAGTACGTGTGGTAAACCATAAGTTAAAATGTGTGACGGTTGGCCCTTTTACATGTTAATCCAACCCAACCAAAACCCACCTATATATTATAACCTAAGAAATGGCGTTTTCCGCTTGATAACTCAACATATCTGTCTTAAAAAATAGAAAAGGTTGCATTTATACACAACTCGTTTGATTTATAATTCAGATTTTTCAGTTTTCTCAATCAGATCCCGCAGATGCAACATATTAAAGACAAAAAGCATTTAATATTTTTTAATGGATAATTAACTTTAAGATTACACAATAATTATTTTCCACGAATGCATTTTGTCCATGTAGTGTGTCATGCGTGGTATAGGGAGAGACAACGAATAATGCGTTGACACCCTCTTAAACACGATACGTACGTGCTTTCTGACATTTAGTTAGTACCTACACCACAACCTTTAAAGTTCCTAGTTCGAAACACGAATTTAGTTTTTTATTCTACTCACTATACACTATAGTATAGTACTATAGTAGTATATAACATCTCATCCTTCTCGACATTTGTACGGAAAATGTAGTGTGGTTTATCTGTCGATAATATTAGGTAATCGGATGTGGTGTAGGTGAAATGGTTGCAGCTGTCTCGCAAAAAAAGCCTCGACCACTGATACCTCACGATAGTGGATCACATCCAAAGAATATATTTTAAAAAATCTCGACAGTAATTATCAGATTCTGTGTAAGTGCAACGATATACTTGGAATTAATATTTTTTTTATCAAATCAAATGATGGATAATTATTTTCTTGTTTTTGATATTCGTTATCTCAGATAATAGTCATAAAAATAATACTATGTCATTTAAAGTACATGTGATACTGCTTTTTTTTATAACTTCTTACATTAGTTGCTTCGGGTTGATTAACGGTTATTTTAAAAAGTGTGTAATAGTTTGCATATAAGTCTATATTATTTATTATCGAGTCCAATATTTTGTATTCGACGACTTGTATCACGTTGATGCTGCAGTCACTGGTGCAGTCGTCAACGCTGGTTGCAGTTGTTGTTGCTAGCTGCTGCAGTACCTATTCATTGTACTCGTACATCACGAGACAAAATGCATTTGTGTGCATTTGTTTGCCGGCTCTCCAATGCGCTCGCCCGCTCGTATCTATACATTTGAAAAATACGTCGATGGCTACGATGACGACGACCCTTCTCATTGTTTCTGGTTCCGCTCTCGTATTTTTATCTCTGTGGCTCGCCTCACCTGAGGGGTATACCTGTGCCAGCCTTGTTCAGTATAATATCATTTTATATATTAAGATACACGTAGGACACCGAACCGTATACGAGTAGAATACTCGCCATTCTGACAGCGTATACATTAAATTTATTTGCCGATATAAACAACTTCTCACCCACCATCACAATTACCAGTTACCTCTACCCAGGTACGTGTGCACGCATTGTTTATGTATTTCGTGTACGCTCTTAAATACCGGCACATCGGTTTTCGTGGTGCACACAGTGTACGGAAGTGTTCGATAAGAGAAGTTTTCTACCGAGACCGTTCAACTGTGTTATAGTGTTGTTTCTCGTTTTCTCCAGAACGCGCCAAACGAAAAACCACCCTTGGCACGCATTGTTGTTTACGCGCATCGATCGTAATAGAGTGTAGTTCGTAACACATGCCTACACGATTTTTAATTCGACTTTTAACTTTTTAGTTTCTAGTCGTTCCCCAAATATTGGCATTGAAGTATTTTTAAATACAATCTACGACTTTAGAAATTCGATACTCTCTAAAATCACAATATACCTATCTAATAATCAACTCATTATGTTAGTATAGTTTGTTAGTTTTTAATTTTTGTTGGACTTATGAAAAAAAAAAACCATGATAAACGAGATTGTCGTAAGAATATAAATATATTTCAAAACAGATTTATTTTGACAAATGTATTAGATTCGAAGATTAATCATTTGAATATAATGGTGCATATGCCTTGCGTGTGTTCTAAAATATCAGCCATAGTTCAATGAGTTTGTATTATGACCAGTCATAAAAAAGTGACATTTAAAAAAATGATATAAATTAATGATGTATGTAGTATACACATTTCATGACAAATGTTCGATGAACACGCTAAATTATTTTCTAAGGCCTTCAAGTATAACAACTTTTTAACAACGCGTTTAACGTTAACCTGGGTAAAATTGTCATTATTTCTAGTCGTTTAATTTTGATTTATTTGTACTCAAAAATAAAATCAAACTTATAATTTATTTTTATGTTTGAAAAATAAAACAAAATAATAATTTCACCTTTTCGATTAAGCTCACCTAATGCATGGTTGAAATAAGCAGGTTATTGTACATAGACTCGGATTGTTATCGTCAGATACAAAATGGTTATATCAAAAATATCAATTTTTCTTATCATCAAAAATACTACGGCAAAAGCTAACAAATTCAAAATTCCTAAAATTCTAAAATTCCTAAAACATATACTTTATTATTATTGGCTCCACTTACCCTGCCATTTTTGTTTTTGTAATCATATATTTGATTGAGACGGGTATATATGCAATAACCTTGTATTTATTTCAACCACGGCTTAATGTATCAAATCATATAATAAATATATTATATATATATTATATATATATATATCATATTATTTGCAAAATGATTGAAACACAAGTTTGATAATCTCTTTCAAGAATAACACCGACGTTCATCAACGCAATATAATACAACAAGTTATATTATATTTGATAAATTAACGAAGAAGCGTATTTCGTAAATTGTCTTCGACCTATAATGGCATCCCGTTTGATAATACGTTACGTTATTTTAATTTTTAGGTATACCATTACTCTAATGATTTACTCAAACGTACAGCACCTTTTATAAGACGATTTCTAAGGATTTCGAATCTTAAGGAGATTACGTTCACGCTTAAGAATTTTCAAACAAAAAAATGCACAAACGTATTATTTTAATGGGAAACGCGCACATCGACTTTATGAAATCAGACCTCACGTAAATAAATTCATCGCGAGATTTAATAATTTAGTTATTGAATTCGCCATTTCATAATATATTATTTTATTATATTGTGTGAGTACCAATCATTGACTTTGTAATTTAATTGTTTTTATATATCGTATAGAATCAAAATCGTGTACCTCTACATTTATGTGCAGTCAGTATCCTACTTAATAATATTGTATATGTTAAGTAATTTATTTATGCGTAAACAGTTAAGATAATTGACCTTATTTCGATCATTTGTACACAGACGACAAAAATTATTATAGTTGGTGATCGAATTTAATGGATTTAAAATTGTCGTCAAGTCAATTAATTTACACATCAATTTTATTTTTTCATCAATTTTCCGGCCCAGAACCAGTATAATATTATTTTGAAAAAGTCTTCTATGTAGGTAATGGAAATAATTGTAATATAAATGCAAAACACTGCAGGCAACATATTATTAAAATATTACAAAAAAAGATTTTTTAAACAACTGTCGGTTGAATATTTTACACAATGTTAAGTATGAGACCATGCAAAATGCGATGACTTCCGTATAAAAAGCTCGTCTAGAAGTTTGAACTGTTGGACATTAGGAATAGTTGTAACTTTTGAGTTTAAAGAGGGTGACAAGAGAAGTTTTTGGCACGGATATATGTTTTTAATACTGATGAATAATTATTAATAACTAATTATTATAATAACTACAACGACGCCTTGTCTGTTGTCCACCTACTTTTAATGAAAACTTTTGGATTTCATGACGGTTTTCCATAACGAAATGTCGACATTGGGAGGTCGTCAAGATAATGGTTATAATTTATAACAATAATAACTGTACGTTCGATGTGTGTGGCACAGGCATAGACACCGTAACAATAGACGGTCGTCGGATAACGAGAGCGAACAGTCGGGCCGGTCGGGCAAGTCACACCGGAAGCACAGGCACCGGAGCCGGAAGTCGTCGACGGGCGACGACCACGAGCACAGACGACACAGGTATCAGCTGGTAGAGTCGGAAGGACAGTGGCGGGAAGTACAACGGAGGCAGGCCGAGGGCAGGTCTGCCATACAAAAGGCATCGGTGGTTCGGCCCCGGTCGGGCTATGCAAACAGCGGGCTGGAGTCTGAGAGTGAGATTTCTCACCATTCGTCGTCGTACCGGAGACGGAAACACCGGAAACACAGGTAATGATACTAAAAACGACAATAATGATGATAATTTTGTTCCGTTTTCGTTATGCCGTAGAAGAGTTGATACAATTATTGAGCAGGGTGTTATTGTTTTGCACATAATTTTTTCCATATTTTTTAACTTTTAATTAATATTTAATTTGGTTTTGAGGCAGGTTAAGATGATACCTGATGACTGATGAGAATTTTTGGTTTTGAAAACAATGTAATATTTTTAAGTGATGTCCCCCATACTGATTGTCGGTAAAAAAAAAATACATACCGATGAAAAATATTAAGATTTAATTTCGACAAGCATTTATTAAGATGTATTACAATAGTTTATGTAATAATTGTATTCTGTGTAAAAATGATGATCAATAGCGGTCCGTCACATTATTTGTAGTCGGATTCGTCGAAAATCTCTATTGACAACAATAACGATCTAAATACATTTTTACCTACATAGTGGAAAGGGCGGATCGGAATCGGTGTTCATTAGATAGCTGCAAAAGTAATCGCTATACATCTAGATTTCCCGGAAAATCGATGATAAATAATATTATTAAAACTTGAAAATGATAAATATTTGAAAAAAAATACTCAAAACCTTGGTTGCTTAACATTTTGCGGTTTTTGAGCACATACATCAAACAGTTTTTTTTATTTCTTTGTATTCACTGCCAAGACTGTTATATCATGAAAACGAGGAAGTGTTTGCCCCGTGTCCCTATATATAGGTACCGGTGATGGCCGATGGTGGGATCCCAAATATATTGTAGGTATAATAATATACCCTCCTTGAACTTCCGGTTTCCGGGTCGGCGATTTCACCTCTCTTCAACGTTCGATTGCTTGCCACAACGTCGGAAGTCGCGTGCACTAGTGTATGATGATTATATAGCTGCGCGGTCGACCGCATGTCGGAAAGGGATGTTGTACAAAACTGGAAATTTCACGTAAAACGTGTACGGCGTTTGATCCGGCTGCGGCGTTCGAATTAAAATTTCATCAAACAAATTTCAAGACAAATTATTCGTTGTAAATATAATATAAATAGAGTTATCAGATTAACAGACTGCTGTGATTATACAAATAAGCCATGTCAAGAACTAATAGTAACGAGCTCGAGTTATTTGACACGTTTCATAATTCTAAAGTCAATCAGACTTATTATATACTATCAATCAAAGTTGTACTCAAAACAAATATTTCGGGAAGTGGAAGGGGGTTAGATTTTAAATATTATTCGAATACACTCGTTGACCGATTGACGATTTTGCGCAGGTCGAGGTCCAGGTCGCCGTCGGAGAGCAGCAGCAAGACGCGTCTACCGGAGGAGCTCAAAAAACATTTGGAGTTCGAACTCGTCGAAACGGACGGCATGACCGAGGAACAACTGCGAGAGATACCTTACACGGCGGTGAAGACATCCCTGAAGACTAATAACTCGTCGCCTCCCCTGTCGTCGAAACGGAAAACCTATTCGTCTCGGAGAGCCAAAAGGTCGGTATATAAAACTGTACATGTATATGACATTGCCTAATGTATTATGCACCCTTAGGGTGATGAAAAATCCACCGTAGACTTTGTTTTTCGTTTTCCTCCGCTATACGCCTATCCGTATATTATGCACACTATTAGCACACTCGTCTGGTCCTCGAGTGGGCACGGCGATCGTTCACCCACGATAATATTATGCGGTAACCGCTGTACACGACGACATTCAGTGGCAGCGCACACTCATTTCGTTGTCAGAGGGTGTCGAGCACGTTTTTTAAAGTCCCTATATTATAATATACCCACCACACAAATAGTATAGATAGTAATAGAAAACGGGGTAAAAATTTTTGTTTTCACTATATTATGATCGCATCCATACAGGTCTAGGTCGTCACCAGCTAGTGGTGTACGGGTGTGCCGATATTTAAATACCTGTCTCGGCTTTGAATGATTTGCATTTATAATATAGTGTACAATGTAGTTTTTTTTACACGATTTTACTACCACCGTTGATCCGATTTTTTATTTTTTATTTTTATTAATTCCTGTTCAAATTAATAAACTATAATTACCACTATGTTCACGAATTACCTGTCGCATATCGATGAAAACATCGTTTTCAAATGCCAATAATGTAATATGTGTAAATTAATTGGATTTAATTAAAATCCATTGTGTACATCTTATAATATTATATCTTGTGAAATTGTATTATGATAGTCTATGCCACTTGGTAAAATACCCTGACAAATTTGTATGATGTATTAATTTTATTTTTTACCTGACCTGACAGTATTTGAAATACTTTGTGACAATTCCCCTAAGAATGTCACTGAAAAAATTACTATGAAATATTAAATTTACTATTCAGTGTATTTTAATATTGAAACGTTAGAAAAAAAAACACAAAATTAACTATAATAAAAATTGTACAGACATTTCGAATTAAATATAGATATTTATTGATTAATATTTTTGTTTGACGTAATATTTATAAAACCATGTCATGCTGCACCAAATTTCTGACTTTTTAACACAAATGGAACAGATGAAAATATAAGAAAATAGATGTTTTATTATAAATAAATCTTTAAATTTGTTTATTATCACTTATTATGAGTGTAATATTATGAACTATATTCAAGTCAAAATATTTCTAAAAATATTATTTTTTAGCGTATTAGAATACACTGAATGTCTGAATAAGTTATTAATATAATACATTTTCATTTAATTTTTGTCGGTTTTTCTTGGTGACTATTTTTATCAGGAAGTAGTTTCCTCCACGCCATTTGTTTACCAATTGCTCTAATCAAATAATAAATACAATAATTGTATTATACTATTCGATCAAAACCTCTCACATTATTTCTTAACAGCTTATCAGCACCTACTTTATTACTGACTTATATCAAATAGTATTTATAGTATTAAATTGTTGTCACATTATTATTATTTGTTTGTTTTATTTGTCGTTTGTTGCATGTCGCCTGCCGATTTGTCGTATACGTATGATATATAGTTGTTCGTTAAAAGACTCGACAGTGCCGGAAGCCGGCGACAGTCCTCCGCCGCCGTATAGCGAAGGCCCGGCAGATAAATGCTCCACTGCCGCCGCCGTCTCCATGCCCAGTTCGAAAAGCGCAAATCAGTTACCAAGGTACGAAGAGCTAAAGCCTCTTACAAACGGATTTTTCATTTAGCGCACCCCGCCACTCGCAGATAACAATTTATATATACCAAATACCTATATGTATATTGAAATATTATCATACGCGACGACGAATTTGTAAATTTAAACATCCATCAGAATATGATTATATTATTTATAAAGTTTTATCATAATTTTTAAGTGCCAATATAATAGTAACAATAATAAATTATAGTGATAGGTATGATAATGATACGGAGGCAGTATTATTGTATTGTATGTCGTTTGGTATACGGTAGCAGTTGTATAAAATACAGAATAAAATATAAGGGTCCATGATATTATGATTATATTTTAGTTAATTACAACACGTCCACAATGATTTTAATTAACGGAGCTTCGGTGAACATGAAAGCACGTCGTTTATTTTTTTTGTACCAAATGATATTAAAATATCGTAAAGTTAATTGAATTTTGTATATTATTATATATTAGGTATTATTATGTTTATATTATGTATAAAAAAATCAATTTCTAGATGTCGAGCAAAACGAGGAATGTATTTTAAATGCAATTAAAAAATGAATAATATTATAATTTATTCCCGGGGGCTGGTATAGGACTCTTGAAAATTATTGCGACACGACATAGTTATTTTGCTTCAAATGCGATTATTATAATGTTTTATAATGTGAAAATAAAAATGTTCGATGTTCTTGGAAAAACGGTATCTTTAGCGGAATGAAAGAAAAAGAAACGCCATTACGTCTGGTCACTGCGGGTCGTAAAGTATTGCGCTGACCCGATATGGAATCGTTCAATTTATTTTATGACATAAAACTACAGACTATCGACGTCCGTTGACCGGTCCCGACTATATACCGTCGAATACTTCGATTAAAGTCGGGTTTTGGGTTTGTTTTTATATTCGATGAGATTGCTTCTTAGGTTTCGGTTCGAAAACATCGACTTTCCAGTGCGTATAATGTTACCAACGAAACAGACAAACCATCCAGCGATTTCGACTGCAATAATCGACGCCATAACGACTTGTATTCAACGTCCTTAACGGGTAGAATCGAAAATATTATTCCAAAGTCGAAATTCTTTTCGGCCGATAACGTCACGTTTTCAGTGGCAGGCCTTGGTTTTGTGTATTCCAGTTTTCATGAAAAGTTAAAAAGTAATTTGTAAGTGATTGTATGGACATAAATTGAAAAATTCCAAGTTCACTTATATAGTTATATCCATAAAAACTTATAACAATGCTAACTCCTTCAACGGCTGTTTTATTATTTCCCTGTAATGTTGTCGACACTCGACCGTGCCAAAATTTTGTGCTCGATTTGTAAGCACTTGTAAGTCACCCCTTTTTTAATTACCCCTTCAAATGAGGTTAACCATGATTATTTGTGGGGTAGAAATCCAATACGTAGGTACTATTGCCAAAATACTGATTTTTCGGCGATAGCGATTTCCTGTATACCCTCTTATAAAACCAATATAATAATTAACTGAAAGTATTTTACAATGAGATATAATGATCAAATACAAAAAAAAATATTTTTTTAATCTAGGTTCAAACCTATTTATTGTGGTTTTCGTTCAAACGTCCATTTTCATTCATTTTATGACAATTGTTGGTTTTGGATTAACTGTTTTATTTCTCCTCTACCCTAGGTACAACATGGACCATATTTGTACGTTTTGAAATAATCGTTTTGATAACCTACTCAATGATTGGTGCCTGTTCAGTATTAATAATATGTTTTGGCTTAACACTGAAAAAAACCTAACTTAATAAACCTACGTTTCGATTGTTCAAATAGGTACCATTTCTATGCATATAGAAAACATTAATTTTGCATTCACCAGTCATTAAAAAGCTCATTTGACTTTTAACTAATACTTCTAATCTTTTCTGTTTAAACAAATCCATTGATTTTGATTTTTTTTTTATAAGAATTGGTGTTTAACTCGATTTTAAATTCTTAGCAATAAGGTGTTTTGTATATCCACCCCTCGATAATTTAGAGCTTTATGAATTCCATTAACAAAGCCATAGGTCAGCATAATTTAAGAATTGTATTATATTTATAAAAACGGCTGAACGAACAAATAATCCATTTATGCTCATAAATATACGTCTTACAAAGTTACAAAAGACTTTATATTTAGGTATTGATACAACTCCAATTAAAGATGTCGTATTCGGGCAGTTAACTGCATGTCACTTTGTTCTCGACTCGTCTTCTATATTATCGTTCTGTTCCGGGTACGAACCCGAATTCAATTCTTACAGCTATCGTATATACCTCTAATTATTGTACTTACAAAATAATATAAGACGCAAATATAATTTTTCATTTTAATTGTATTCTTTCGGTGGCGGCACGGAAGAGGTTGTGCGCCGCCCAAGAGTATAATAATATTGTTATGGTATTATAATATAGCTAAAGCACACAATACTTATAGCAATACGATTTTGTGAAATAAAGAATTATTTTCGTTTGTTAAATTAACTCCGCGCAGCGTTCTTTTTAATAAACCGATGATAGGTAGGTACACAAACCGATAACAACAAACAGAGAGAGCCTTATTATAATCTTGCTTTAAGTTTTCGCATCATATTATTATTATTTTGTTGTGTAGTACAAGAACAGAATAATATTTCCTGTTGTGCTGCAGTGTCCGTCGTGACTTTCGTTGCAATGGTTACAGCGAGTGAACGATGTTTTATTCGACGAATTGGGTTTTTTCAGTCTGGATGGGTGGGCGCTTTACGCCATTCTACTCGAAATAATCATAGAGGACTGTGTTTTATCACATAGTTAATATCCGACCACGTTCATTCAATATTATTGTAATTACAGCAGGCTCATTTAAAACGATACATCCGCTTTCAAATGCTTTTATATTTTTAGTTTTAAGATTTATGGTAATATATAGGTAGTATGATACATTAAATTAAATGATAATATTTCAAATTTATATGATGGTACTACTTATAAAAAATCTAGATCCAACTAAAAATTCGAGTTATCGAGGTGAGCCCTACAGCCCAAGTCGTTACTTGTCTATTCAATGTTTCATAAAAAGAGACATGGAATTAGAATAAGCTACCAGCTAAAAATTCATCAAAATAAAATTATAGGCACCATGTATACTGTATAGTTTACTATGATGTATAGGTTGTATTATCCGTAGTTTGACCTAAATATGGTTTATCTGTTTTTAGGAATTTGTAATTCACAAAAACAATTTGTATATAATCGAAATCGATTTAGACAAAATATGCGATCCTTTTTTGACAACATAATAATATATCCCTCTAATATTATTCTAAATTATTCTATATTATTAGTATAAATACCGAAAAATTTATATTTTCTACTTAAGTAGATTTGTACTCAATTGTACTTATCATTTAAGTCATTTGTTTTTTTATGAAGAAGAATAATGTCACATTTCAAATAATTCGGAAATTTAATTACACAGATAATTTAAAATTTAAAATTAGTATAAGCCATAAATTTATAACTTTCATTATTCTGATTTAATGAAACTACATTTAAATATATATATTTTTTTTAAATATATTTATTTGCCACAGTAATAGGTATGTTAAGCGATATGGTGGTTTTTGGGCATATACCTGCTATGCGTATAAGTTTGTCTGACAACATTTTGGGACCACTGATAAAATACTGACCATGGCCATTGTGGGAAAAAATTAAACTTTATTATGATTAACCTGCGTTTAGATCTTGGAAACATAACATATTATATAGTACATATTTAAAATATACAGATTTGAATAAAAAACATATTCATTCAACCCATTACCTTTTTGTGCTATGGGCAAGAAATCCTATCCTATAAATATAAGCAGTCAAATATTTAATTATTTTTTTTGTTATTTATTATCTTAATTGTAAATTATAAAATATGTTTGAAATGTCTTGACAAATTCAATGAATGTATATTATATAATTTAAGATATAAACTTTATATGATTTAACATATTTTAACTAGATTTTTTAGTGGCTCATCTGTACCCCAAAATAATATATTACCTGTGAATAATCATTACTGGTCGGGGTCTATCGAGAGTAAAACTGATAAACGAACAAAACGTATTTCTTTGGATTGCAAAAAAAACGATAAAATTCTCAAGTCTTACAAAGTCAACGGTAGGTCGGTAGCAAATAGCAATCGATTAAGGTTACAACTAAGTACTTAAGTATGCAAATCTTTTTTTTTAATTTTAATTACTGCAATAGATTATTCTTGTAGAAAATAAACTTTTAACGTTTTTTTCTTTTCGTACAGTATATGAACGGCAGGAAAATAAACTTTTTGGTACAGCAGCACTCTCTGCATTAAAAGTTGAGAAACATTTTTTTTCTGCTAAAAATAATATAACTTGTCACTTTATATAACCGTCAGGTTTTATTTTTTTGTTGGACTTAAAATTAATCATTGGGGTTCCTGTGGCAGTATCGATATTGTATAATATATGCGGTGGTATAAAATCCCTCTTTTGTATAATATAATTAATACGTATTCTGTGTGCATTATTAAGTACCCTCTCGTAAAGACGAGACACGTTTTATTTTTTATGCTCAAATACTTTCTCACCCTAAAAAATACTTAAGCGAAACTTTTAATATCGTATTGATTTTTTTCTCACAGCTCGACAGAAACTTATGAAGTCAGTTAATCGTCAATCATAACGATAACTTTTTACTCAGCGTATGTCATTATTGTATGTTTGTAATAATTATAGTGTCAGTTAATTAATGCTAAATGCATTTTTAGATGTCTCGTTATGTCTTCCTGAGTTCAAAATTCAACGCGTATAACAGAAAATTGTATTTCAAGTGCATATTTATACGTAGAACAAAGTATCAACAAACAGTTTAATTTGTCAAAACAAACATTGGTTTCCTGTAGTCTGTTCGCAAAAATTATCAATAATCATTAAATTTATGAAATTGATAAAAAAATACATTGATCAGTGCGTGGTACATCGCATTCATTTCGATTAGACGTTTTTCACTTATTCCTTTTTAGGTCTTAAGTCAGTGGTCCCAACATTTTTTAGTTAAAATATCGATTTAAAAAAATTAAATAATTTTAACTTTTTGGCGATTTTTAAAAAACTTTTGAGAAATGTCATAGGTCATGGATTGTTAGCTTCAACATTTTTTTTCGATTAATCGGAACGACTTTCAGCCAGTGTACAACGAAAAGTTAAGCTTAAGTTGTTTATTGCAAGATTGCCTTCAGCTCAAAAAATAAAAATACCACAATTTGTTTCCTTAACCACTTTGGTTGATTGTGGAATTAATGGTTAAGGCGAGAGGGACTGGAAATAAGAACGCAAAACGATCCGCTTAAGTTTATTCTGTGGAAAAGTCTGCAGTTATTTACACAATACACATAAACACAAAAAAAAACCGTACACCAATGAATATAATAATATTATAGATCTATCATGTATATAAATAATTTAATATTATTTATGGCATAGTATTCGTGTGTTTTCGACTGCCACGTGTTCTCCGGCATCATAATATGGTTCTCTTCGAATCAGTCTGAAATAAAATGGTTGTGAAAATGTTTCGTGAAGACATAAGACCACTAATGGTGGATCCATCTCCCAAACGTACAACGCTAAAAACTTGATAAAGAAACGATTTCGTATCGTGGGCTTTAATTTTGGAGTAAAATTATCAGTACGTTGATTTTTACGATATTTTAACGATTTTTATCAAGCTATTTTCGAACATTTATAATAATATTGAAATAAAATACAAATCATAGCCCACTCGGAAATTTAAATACATCATAAAAACCTATATATACACATAGATACTATTATATTAGTTCTTACTAACAATTATTATAAGTCTGATAATATTGATCACTCGTGCAATATTATAAATATAACGACACAAAATTAATGTTTCGGCAAATATCAAATTTACTATGTTGTACGTTTATGAGACGGAGACGACTCGACGACTTCGTGCCGGCGTGGGATCCTCTTGATGACCAGCAAAACATTTGTCAGTCACTTATTTCTCGTTGTTTTTGATCGCAGGACTCAACAACCCAACCAAAGCGGACCAACGGTGACGAGGACGTCAGCTGACCCGAATTACAGGGCCACGTGCTCCGCGCTATACGCCAACCCGTCGGCGTTGCATATGGGCTCGGCGAACAGCTATCATCATTCTAGTCACGACCAACGGAACCTCATGAACCATTCCCGGTGGTGAGCACAACATAATAACAATAATAATAATATTAATAATAATAACAATAATATCGTACTTTGAATATGGAGTTGTTGTTAAGGAGTTTTGATAATTGTATGTATAGAGAACTCTTCAAACAAGATGTTTTCGGATACAATATTGTGTTATTCATCAATTCCATAATTTTTTTTTTAAATTTTTAAATGTAGGATATAAAGTTGGCAATTTATAGTGTGATTATCGATTCATTTTAGAAAAAATAAAAACGTTATTTTTTGTTTAGACATTGTCTGTAGTAGAAAAGTATAGACTAGTTTAAAAAGTATATTATAGTAAATGCATAAACTGTAAATTATTAGATTTAAATTAAATTCGATTACAGCTGTTTTTCACGTACTTTTTTTCTGAATACAAATTTGATGATTTTTTTTCAAAAACACTAACTTGTTGTTCTATACTTACACCTACTTGATTTATTTACAATAAACTATGAAAAACATAATTTTTTTAAAATCCATTAGTTCTAAATGATAATTTTATGACAAATGAAACTTTTTATTAGGTACTTAAAAAAAATAATAAACATTATAGTATCATCCATTAAATAGGTAATACGATGCTTAAATAGTAATTACTAACTAGTAAGTAACTATTTCAAAAAATGTATAGTAACCCGGGAAATAAATAGGTAGCTTTGATATAGTGGTATTCGCCCTTGTTTGGTAAGTACACCCTGACAATGAGTAATACTTTTATATTTTTGAAAAAAAAGATGTTTTTTATTTTTCATATTAAAGACTTCAATACAATCCGCTCATGGTATAATATAACTCACAAACCTCTTTCAGCATTTACATTCTGAGCCATGTGTATGTTTTTAAATGGGTCCCGCAACCAAATCAGGATTCGGGACTTTAGGACGTTATTATTTTTAAAAACCGTCTGTAAACAGACATTGAGAAACGTTTCGTAGAGTAGATGACGTTTAAAACTAAAATAAATATTTTTAAAAACACCGTATAATGATGTCTCATTGTAGGTTACACGATCTCGAGCAGAAAGACAACGCTCACAATAGGAGAACTGAAAATCTGATGCGAGATTTCCCTTACAATTCAGCCAGGTCGTCGGCAAACGGGTAAGTTAATAATTGTTCTTTTTTTTTTTATTAATAAATATTATGAGGCACTCTCGGTAGTTCATTTTGGTTCCTGAATTTGTATTGTTTTGCGAACAACGACTGTTACGGATAATAAGCAATATTGAATAAATCTGCAACTAAAAATGCCAACAAACAGATTATTAAGATGTCTATTGAAATAAATCGATGTTAACTAAGCTTGGCTTGTTTACAATGATCGTTTATCATTGTGATAAGTGTTTTTTTTATAATTCAAACCATATTGGACTTTTCAACTTACACACTGAAATGAACGATAATTAAACGAAACAAACACGTCGTAACGTAATTTCAGCGTTTCCACACTTTTTCCCTACTCTGTCTGATCGTGTTTTTTCATTTTTCGCAGGAACAGCTCTGAACGACCCTCCACGAACGCAGCCAAGTCGACGCCTCCGCCGTGGTCTAGTCAAGAAATTCGCGGCACAATGGGCGGCGGTGGCGTTCCTTGGCAGTGCGTCCCAGACCGCGTATACCCGGTTAGCGGTTACGGCCCGCCCAAAAATATCAACCAGGCGGCGTACCAGAACCGGAGCAACAACAATCCGGAAACGTGCACGTCGTCGGCTGCGGTCGACACGAACCGGAACAGCGCGATGATCGCCATGACAACGACGACCGACGACGCCAAGTCCACAGCCTCCTCCGGGTCGGGTGCGGTAGGGCAGTCGATCAAGTCCAGCAAGTCTTTCGAGAGCGGCGTGCTAGGGCAGCACGCCAACACACCCAACGGCGTCATACCGTGGCCGGGTGACAGAGGAAAACCCAGACCATCGCATCAGTGGGACCACCATAACGGTACATCGTCGTCGTCGTCGCCGCATCACCACCTCCACCATCAACAGCAGCAACACCACCAACAACAGCAACACCACCAACAGCAGCAGAATCACCCACAACAACAGCACAACGGCTTGTCCCCCTACGGTGGTGGCGACGGCGTTGGAAGTGGTGAAATCCTGTACATGGGAAACAGGTCCTCGGGAGTGCGTACTTCGTCCAGGAGTGGCCCGACGTACTTTTCGCCACAACACAACCATGTGAGTGTTATCTGCAATCGATTCTAGATTATTTAGATTTAATTTTTCATTTAGACTTAACTCCATTCGACTTAACACTCGTATTTATGACGTCCGGAATTTCTCAATTTACAGATTGGTTTTAATTGCACTTAGTTTTTGTGACGAAATAGTAGATTTTTTCTAATTCTGCTTTACAATTATGTTTATATACTTAGAGAACTCGTTTTCATGCGTTTCGACAAAATAGTAACGATGTCTGAATTTAAGACAACTGTTCTGAAATGAATATATTAGGATCATATAAACTTTTTTTTCACAAGAGTTCCTCATCTTTTTTTACACTAATTATGAGATATAGTTGTTATGATATTTTCGTTTTATAAAATATGAAACCATTTGATTTTAGGTGGACAGATTGTCGAACGCCGAGCTGAGGTCGTCGGCCAGCCTGGAGGAGATCCTTTCGCCGATATTGCAGAGCAAACTGACCACGTGTAAGTATAACAGTACTATATTCGTATATATTCATGTCCTGTGCAACTCGAAAACGCATTAGCGAGACAATATATTATTATACCCATAACAATGATAATATATATTAAGTAGTAATGATAATAAAACTATTTTTGTTTTGTTTCCGGACAGAATCTTGAGGGGACGCAAACCGCCATGCCGATGTATCGGTACGATTTAAATCATCATCGTAATAATATGAATCGCCATCGATCGATCGGCGTAAGTGAAGAAATCGATTACGAACACGACTTGGACTTTAACGAGCGAAAAACGTAGTGTCGGCTACTCTTTACGTGTATATATTTTATCATTTATCATAATTTTTTCATTTAGATGACGCGCGCACGCACGCATAAGCCATATTATATTACATTTATATTATACGAACGTGTACAGTGTAAAAAGAAAACGATTTATCTCATCACTACGTATATACCTGCCGTACGCATATATATTTTATGTACAATCTACACATATTATAGGGAAACCTTTTCGAGAATATAATACGTCTGTAAACACGAGCGCGAGTTTTCTTCTTCGTCGTTTTTATTATTATTATTATTTATTCTTTTCACTTTTGAGAGAAACCGTCAAAGGGCGTCGATAAGTCTGAGTTTTTATTAAATATTTTTTTTTTTTTTTATGATCCCTATTTTCTTATCCTTCTCTTTTTCTTTTCTTGATACTCTCATCGTTTTCTCTCGTTTCCCACTCGTATTATATATATATTATATTATTATTACTATTATTATTATTATAATCATTTATCGTGTCCACGTCGCGCTCGTCGGATTAATAAAATATAGTAACATACCAAAGCTCAATATTATGATCAACACATGTGTTCCGCGCATATTATAATATATACATTTATTATTATTAATTATTATTATTATTACTACCTATTATTAGTTGTGTACGACGCGTGTCTTGTAAGTACGTTTAATATAATTTAACGACAGTGTGTACATTATTTTTTATTTTATCACATATTATTATTACTACCTATCATATTGTATATTATTGTATTGACAAACTGTGTGTTTTCACGCCGTACCTCTTTATTCATTTTTGTTCATTAATATTTTGTTTACGAAATTAAAAACGATTATTCAATAACTTATTATAATATTATATCGTATAAATACAAGTGTAACAATAATATGCTTATAATATAATATAACATTATTATGTTTTGTATTTCTGATGATAATATTATATATATACATATTATACATATATATATACATACAGGCACTCAACAATTAAATCGAAATTCAAACGAATTATTATTTTTTTTTTTGCCGATCGTGAATCGTGATGTCGAAATTATCTCGTTTTATTTTTTATTTATTATTTTTTTTTTCTACAAAAAAAACTAAATATAATATTTGTACTGATAATCAAATACTACGTTTTTTGTTTATTTGTTTTGTTTTTGTTTTATGTATACCGTGTAAAACGATAACACTTTTTTGGCGGTCTCTATGTATAGCCGAGAGAAAAATATTTGCACTTTTGTATTAACCGTAACTTTTGTCGTGTTGTTTTTTCTGTTTGCAGTGAAATCCGTAAATAAGTTGGATAATGACATATTATCATTGTATTATATTATATGATATACTACGGAAATATAATAAAATAATATTATATTATTTGTTCGTTTTTGTGTCATTGTTCGTCCCGTCGTCGTCGGTTTCCGGACGTTTGTTGGAAGTGACAAACTCCCAAATATTCTGTGCCTTTTCGTGGCCTCCGGAGTCCTTGATCGAGTGTGCGGTCACTTCGTATTCCTGTGAAAATACAATAAATAAAGTTTAAACATTCAGCTCGTTTTAAAAATAAACATTTAGCTCGAGAATGTGAAAGTCTTAAATCGAAATGTCCAAACTATCGTCACAACGACCGTAACATCACAGTTACCTATAATATTTGATTTCAAAACGATTTTACTACATTAAATCATTAAATTTTTTTTAAGAGTGAAAAATATTCAACGTTCAAGAGATGGCATTGTGCGCCGTAACTACATTACGGGAGGACAAACAAATATACTGTCGTGTCAGATTTATCGTGTCACAAAATTTAAACAAGACATAAATAAATATTGTGCGTTGCCATGGTAGCAAAGTAAATTTTGTCCGGCTGCATTTAATCAACCTACACTACCCATCACCACAGAGCGTACAATAGTTTAAGAACAGATTATATGACAAAAGTAGTTATTATACAATGAACGTTGTTCACACTTATATAATTTTCGTCTGTCTGTTTATTTGTGTACTTATTCAAATTTAGAGTGCGGTACTTGATATTTATGTTATGAATTTGATTTCTTCGAAAGAAATTCCACCTCACCCACTCAGCCAGCATACTTTTCTTCGTCGACAACTGTGCCACAAAATGCATCGACTGTGCCGAGTGCAATGATGGCCGACGAGAAATAATTCAGTGTTATTTAAAATACATTTTTTATATACTTTAGGAACTTTTGTTTACCAACATTGTAAGTCATTTTTCTTAAATTTTAGATTTCAATGAACAGTATTTAAAAATCTTTTCTTTCTCATCACATTTACCTAGTACGTAGAGGTTCATGAATTGATTCGTATAAGATATTCGCCCGTGGGAAATGCTCATCATAAAGGTGTCACTACCTTAGAGTAATAGAGAAATACAAATTGTCAACTCATTCTACGTCATCCCGACATCTGATTATTGTAAAGACATCATATACTTTAATACTTTTAGGGAAATTTTAGAGTTTTTAAGGTCATCTTTTTAGTATTACTGAAATATATTTCTGTTCTTAAGTGTTTCGACTCATTCGGTCGATGGACTCCAGTTAACTGCGCAAGTCCCAACAGTGAGATATATTTTATATTTCATCTATTTCGTAAACGACTAGACGGCGATATCGCGGTATCAAAATGTTGTATCGATATCCACGTATAAATACTCGTCTCGATATAACGATATGTATGTCCGAAAATCGATTGGTCGACATCGTTGGCCGTCGCCCCCCGCCGACAGGATGGTAAATATTTCTGTGGACAGTAAATCACATAATACATTTTATCACTCGGCGGCGTGCAGATTACACGACGAAATAACAACACTGCACATTAACGCTATTAAATATTACAATAATATGTGCGCGCAGATTTATTATTATTATTATTATTATTATTATTATTATTATTATTATACACACATATATATGGTCTGACGCGCTTCCCATTGTATCATATTTTACTGAAAAAAAGCACCTACGAGCAGTCATATTATGTATATCATGCGCACGCGCGTTATACACATATTAGTACATTACAACACGGGTCGGTTCTCGAGGGGGGGGGGGGGTGTTGAAAAGGTCTCTGGCATTGTGCAGTCGGACGAGCTCCGATGGGGAGCAGCCGACTAAAATACGCGTCGGCGCGGTCATAATAATAGACGACTATATATCGCTAACGAGCGCAGTTTTGTGCCGAGCATTGCGTACAATACGCGATTATAATACGACATAGTTGTACAGGGTGATTCGCCGGGGTCGTTTCACTCCAATTTTTTTTCATCCACAATACAGCTATACGAAATCATCGGAATTTTTTTAAAAAAAACTTTTAATTAGGCGTCATACCGGTATAATATACATTTTTATAAGTACAGCGTGTTTTCAAATAATTTAACTTTTAACGTCATCCCGCGTATCATTTCCGAGTGTCCTCCCGCGGCGGCGATACGAACTATTTTTTTTTTCAAATGACCGTCACGGATTTTCATCGATCATTCTTCGAGGGGTGGCGGGGGGAGAGGGGATGAGGGATTTTTTTGTTGAAAAAGTCGATCTATATAAATCGCAATTCCAGCGTGTCGTATTCCCGAATTACTAAACGTAAAGTATAGGCACTACCTATTGTAAATACCTAAGGATGATAGTCCACAGAATCAAGTATCTACAATGTACATTAATTCATTACGATTGTAGTTGGGTGTATAATGATTAACGTCAACGGTTTGAAAACTTAAGGAATTAGTATACATTTGTTATTCCAGTTTTGTGTTTCATTTGTTTTCGTTTTAGTGACTATAATTAGTATGAAACCTATTTTATACTGTGCATGTAAAACATTCTTAAGGGCTATTATCCTCAACATAAAGTTTTATAACTCAGTAAAAAATGCGTTCTTCTTTCGATTCGATTATATATGCATAAACGTTTTCAGTACACCATTGATTCTGCTTAACAGTTTAGTAGGTGTTTACCGTAAAAAGGGTGATGATTTTCATTTGAAAAAAAATTAATTTTCTACCTCCACGGGATGATCCTAAAAAGTATGCAGTCTTTGAGTAATATATGCTTAAAAAAGAAAATATCACAATTTTATACTTTATGCTTTATGAACATCGAACACGGTGATGAGAATATTATCGGCGATTCACCCCGTACATACATAGTTTAAGGCCTCATTGTGCTTGCATACAGGGTGATACTTTAAATAATACCGACCTCGTTCCGAAATCCACTTTACGCACCTAAGTGCCTTTACAATATGAGTGCCTATGCGAAGTGTTTCTTTGGGGATCAAGTTTTAAACCCGTTCAGCACAATAACTACTGTGCGCTCTGTGGACGTGGCCAATACCTTATACTTTTTTTAATCGATATCAATGTCTGCAAACTACGAATAGTATTACATGATATATTGATATTAGGTCAATGTAATATTTAACTTTTGGACATTTTATATGATTTTCCAACCTTTAGTGCAGCTTTTACTAAAACATAAAATATACAAACATAAACCGTTATTTTTATGGTCAACTCTTAAAAGTCCTAACTCTCATATTTGGCTTTTAGTGCACGTTGTGTTCTATCATTCTATCAAAGTGCTGAAAACCAATTTCCACCAAACATTTTCTAATTACTTTTCGTTTGTAGATTGATCATGGTTAGTATATTCTGCCACCTTATTTGAAAAGGTTTGTAAGATTGGGGTTATTAATGTTTACACCATTAACGGGCAGTCGTTTTGATGAATACATTTTAAAAATAATGATTTTTATGAAAGCATATCCCATACTGTGCTGACGAAAAAAGAGTTTATGCAATTGATTGTAAAATTATTGATTTGCAACGATTCGTTACAGAAATTCCACGAACAACGTACCTAATTATCATCTCTGCGGGATTTATCACCTCAAAATTCGTTTTATAATGTTCTCTCGAAAAAAAATATAAGTGCAGTAAAACCTCTTTATAACGGAATCGCTCGGCACCAACTGATTTTTCCGTTATACGCAAGAGGCTAAAATACACGTGATTTATAGGTTATACGCGGAACTGTTGATATTTTCCGTTGTTAGGCGTTTTCCGTCTTATAGCCGTCCGTTATGAGGAGGTTTTACTGTAAACTAGCTAAAAAGTGATTCGATTTATCGTAAAAATTACGAATCGAGAAGATGAGAGTCTCATCGCGAGGTAGAAAAATCCACGAGTATATAATATATAGTGTACGATAATGTATTATTACTGCGGCGGCCTGTCGCCGGGGATGGCTGTGAAATGTAATTTATTTCGACTCTGTGCCTCGTGCTTTTAATCGACGCGATATATTATATGGTAGTCGTCGGTGGCGATGATCGATAAAAGAAAATATAGCCCCTCCGCCCGACGACGCAAAAACGACGGGCCCTGAGATTTATGTGTTTTCGGGAAATCAGATCGTAGGAATACACTGCCGCCGCAGTCGTCGGTCCTGGCGCAGGATAGTCGAGAAAAAAATAATCACAGATTATATGTATATTGTATATATGTATAGGCACTCAAGGTCCCCACCGATCCAAGTGAATTTCGGGGTTTTTTTCTTATTCGTCGACCACTTAATATTCGGTTACAATTCGACATATTATAATATAATCAGTCGTCGCACAGGACTTATATAGGGGCGTGAACGTATTGTAGATAATATTATTAGTCAGGATAAAAGGATCTAATAAGAGGCCTTCGCCTGACACGGAGCTACGCCTTTAATCATATTAATGGCCGATGGTCGCTTGGGTGGCTGTAGAATTCAAGTTTCTGGTATGTAATTAATAAATATAATACACATAATAATACAAATAAATATATAATAACATTGATTAAATATAGTAAATATATTTAATCAATGATAATAATATACGAATTCTAATTACAACACAATATATTACCTTTATCTCTATTTTTAAGGAACGATACTCAGAGATAACATCCAATTAATGGACGAAGGTAGACAGGTAATAAATTGTACAAATGCACATTGTCCATTAAATATAGTCGAACAAAAATGTCCAGTAATTATATCATCAAATGTCCAGGATCCTCTAAAGGTCCAACTATGTATGAAAATATTAAACATCATAGCCCATAGGTTTCCAGCTGAATATATAAGATTCAGAATTGTTTATAGTAGTTATGCCTGACCTTGAGCAGTGGGCGCGAGGGGGGAACAGAGCTCACTAATATTTTGAATTTTAGATTTTTCAAATATTTTTTGGTCATTTTCATTACTTTTTCCGATATTTTTAATAATTATTTATGTCGAATAAAATTGTGTACACACATTTCATGAACCATTGATTAATTATCGTCTTATATGATTAATGGCTTACATGTCATAAAGTCACGTCATATTTTAATAACATCTTTAATTGAAATAAGAGTTTTTGTGCATACATATAGTGAATTCTTTACTGATTTTATTGACGACTTAGTTCATTTATAAGGTTTTTAAATACGTTTTCGGGGTGAA